TCAGAGAACTCGCGAAACTGCAAAAACACAAGTTAAGCTTTGTTGTCAAACATTACGTATATCTCAGTTTGAGAGACATTTGATACCCCGTGCTAATCTTTAAGTAGGGGTTTTTCCCCTTCGTCGCCTGAATCAAATTAGCATTTTGTATATTATTGTGTTGAACAATGCTGTCGGATTGGCATGCAGAGGGGGCCAAAAAATTGATTGAATCGTGAGAATCATTTAGTGCGCAATTTCGTGACTTGGATGCAAGTTAGCCCACGTGAAGAGAACGGCTACACGTAGGCTAGATGCAACCGCTCTCTATTAAGCAGGAAATGAGCATCTGGATTTTTCTTGCGAAAATATTCTTTTACATACAGGTTGAATACCCTCTATGATTGACGATGATCGATTTCTTACACTAGCTGTGATTTTAGCTTGATTCCAGTAATCGAGGGAAATGTGTTGTAAAGACAGTGATTCATAATCTTTGATTCCTTAAATCCACTTTTTGGGCAGTTGATTCACTGAGGTTCACTGCCTTAAGTTTTTGGCGTTGTCTCGCGTGATTTGGTCGGTCTTGGCACGGTCGACTCGCCCCTAATCATGAATGCACAACATATACAAACTCAAGGAGATTTGATTTTTACGTCACGCGGCCTCAAACCCATAAGGTTAACCTGTGTTTTACCCAATATTAAATTCGCCACATATTTTTCTCAATCAATAGCTAAACATCATGTTTTTCAGCATTTCGTTGAAACTACAAGATTATGTGACAGGCTCCCAAATTATTAAGATCTGTTTTCCAAATTGTTCTTCTTAGAAGTAAGCTGTATGAATCTTAGCAGTATTATTATCACAACAGTCCCAGTCATCGCCAGTCACAATGGGGGACTTAACATATCGCCAGAGTAGTAGGAAATTGGTGTTACACTACAAAATACTCAACTCGTAATCTTTTCAAAAATCATTTCATCGGGACCACACTTGGCGAAACAATGTGTTACCATGGTAACAGCTCTGGTTTCTGTGCCTGAGTATAACAGCGGACCTACTGAACTACTTCTCATTGGGTTAGATATTTTAAAGATTACCAACCCAAAGCCTGTGACAAAGTTATACGGGAATTACAAAGCCAATGCAACCAAACTATGTTAACATTGAGCAAATTTTCATTTTGAATTTACAATGTAGTCTTTGAAGATTCCGCTTTTCGTACGCTGGAGCTAGTCCGTGGCTCTCAATATTTCTCTGCAACAACCCCAACAGTTTGGATACAAGGAGATAACTGGCCATCGTTTAGTGAAATTGTCACAAGATATCCTCTGTGTGGTGCTTCTAAACTGCACGTGTTTGTGGATTGTTTCGAAGGCGAATCATATTTGACCTATGGATTGATATCTCCGAAAAACAGGTATGAACTAAGCCCCAATCTGCACTGTTCTGGTAAATACATTGCATAAAAAAGTATTAAGGGACGGATCTAGGGCAGAGGCGCTCCCCCACCCCGTCTGTTACGTCATTCTTTTTTGGTGCACCCTGAAAATTGCAGGATCCGCTCTTGGCATTACCATTTTTCTGGGTTTGTTCAATGCATTGTCACAAAACGAAGCTTGGTTACTTGTGATGTTTGATGGCAATCCGTAGATTTGAAGAATTCCTTTTAAAGCTGCAGGTCAAGGGGTGTGGTGCGTGAGGCAATGCCGGCTTCAAACGATTTTTATTTTCCAAACCTTTGCGAACTGTTTTGTGTACTTGTTATGCCACGCAGAAAGAGCCGATTGTCTAATTTGCTTCACAACAAGCTTTTGATGTTCTTTTAAACATTTTGAAAGGCGCTTTGCTAACGTCTGAGTTTATATTTTGAATGCACTTTGCTGAAGTAGAATTTTCTTATAATTCTTTAGGAAACTTCAGGTGTTGGGTGTTCAGAATGGAGAACATCTTCGACTGACTGGAAAATTGTGGTAATTATCACGTCCACTTGTATTAGCTTAGGTTGCCCTGCACCCTTATCCGTCTCCTTGTAACAAAGCGAGCGAAGCTTGGACCGAGCGATGGAACCATGAAGGAGGCATGGGGCGAAAGTGAGTAATGAAGAGAGAGGCGCAGGCTTTGTGAGGAATTCAGACAATCTAACGATAGCCTCTCACCAGCGAACAGGTGGTAGGTCCGTCAATAGAAGCCTTGATGGAAACAGATCGATTCGGTACCGCCCTAGAGATAAAATCAGACTAATTAATATGAGAGCGGAGGATCTTCAGTCAAAATAAAATTACAAATGTTAAAGTTTTTAGGCTTCATGGGAAGTCGGTTAAATTTGAACAATAACCTTCTCAAAGTCCGCCGACTCGGCTGTTGATTTGAAATATTAAAATTTCCTCTAACTTACTGTATGCGTGATCATGTCTATTCCATTAATCAAATAAGTTTTCTGGGATTGTCTGAAACCATTTTTTACAGTCAGATTCACAATCGATCGTTATTAGAGACCCTTTCAACAGGGCTTCTATAGTTGGACTGGACTGGCGGCACGAGGACAAATAAATTTTGCTGACCTCTAGGCATAAAGTATTTCCTTCCTTCGCTCGACAACATTTTCTACCAATTTTCTAACCTGTGCCTTTTTTTGAAATTTTTCCTCCAATGTTTTCATCTCTCACGGATGAATTTACGGAATCATGGAACGATCATATTGCGAATTCATCTGATGACCTTTCATTTTCTTACCTTCAGGGGATGGAGCAACCAACAGAAAAAATTCTTTAAGAAAACATTCGACTCTAAGACAAGTTTTGCTGCTTCTTCGCAATTAACACATTTCTACAACAGAGACATCAGAAACGGAAGTGTCTTGAGTATTTACCGTGACTTAAAGAGCAACCGCATCCACTTTGATATCAATGGAGAGGAAGGATGGGTCAATTTTAGCCAAAATGAACCAGACTTCTGGTATGGTTACATTCGCTTGAGTTCCACCGGTAGCGGAAGTAAAATTCAAGTCACACTGGTTCCGGAGAAAGATCAAGGTAAAGGCCACGTGATCATGCATTTATGAAACATCTCAGACTTCCTCTCTCTCCTTGTCAGTGTGTTAGTTTCAACATCAGTGTTTGAGCAGTTAACCCTTCAACTCCCAAGATCTCATTAGTAATTCTCCTTACTGTCTGCTATATAGTTCCTATGGTGTTAGATCGAAGAATTTGGTATTGGATCAACTAGTAGTTTCTTAATTGAAATTTTCTTCCATTACTTGTCCCCTTGATTTTGTGTTGCTATTGTAAGGAAGTAGTCGGTCTCAATCACTTATAGGAGTTAAAGGGCTTGTCAAAAAAAGTGGTCTATTTCAACCCATTAAATTCGCAACACAAACACTAATTATATGCTGACAACTAATACTCGGCAATATAGGATCAGTGTTAGAAAACTAAAGTCTCTTCACATGTTTGTTTTTGTTGTTTTTTTTTCATCAGCGCCTTTTAGGGTTGTCCCGGACTCCCGCCAGGGATCAGGTAGGTCGATGAGAACAATGTTAATGAGTATATGCATATGCGTACGCACTGGAACACATCAGCATTTACATTTGAATATGTATATTTCAGCAGTATTTTTGAGAACCAGGCTAGCGATAATGGTCCCTAAAACAAAAAATCTTGCAGTGCCCTCCAATTTTTGTTAGCATCAGCCTTTGACAAGGACGGCCTTCTTCAAGTGAAACAAAACAAAACAAAAAAACACTCTTACAGACCCTAAGACCCGGTTATTTACTCGAGGTCTAACCCAAAGTGTGGTTTCACACAATCAGTGGGCCTCAGGGATTCCCTATAATTGGATAAATGTCCTTCTACTTTTGGCTTTCTTGACTTTCTTGACAAAAATAAAAGTTCAGATAAAAAATTCGGCTAACCTGAAGATGGCTTAGAACACAGTTTTGTTAAACAACGGCTAAAGTTTGTTTAAATAATCAGCCCTTATTAGAGTTACTTTCTAAAACACTCACCCCTCTATGCAACCTATTCCTCCAATGTGCCTTTCTTCCTTTCAGTGAATTCAAGGAGGAACCTTAGCAAAGTTAAAGCGATGACCCAGCGTTGGTTTTGCTTCGCACTGCCTGCTCTTACACTACAGTTTTCAGATCCACCCCACTCCACTGTAAATGGAATGTTGATCCCCAGTCCATTGGCTAATAGTCCTGTCTCCATCAAACTATTGTTATGGTCAGCATTGCCATTAGATATTTTGCGCATGCCCGTAGAGAACACGAGGCGAATGTAGTTCAATCAGCAGGAATACAAGATATAAATATAACAATGCAGTTTTCAGACCTACTGCTTTCCAGGACCCCATGTCTCGGTTCAGTTCCTGATAGGCCCTTTGGTTTTTCTACTTGTCGATCGTCAGCATAATTACAAAAGCTCTGTTTTTACTGCAATGAGTAGCTGTGGCCGGACAGGCAGGAATCAAGGTCATTTGTGATGGTAAAATCACTAATTTGTGTGATTTTGTTTACTCATATTTTTTAGCGGAAATATCTTGGCTGAGCCACCACTACGTGATGCACACATCTCATCCGCGTGGAATTTGCCTTCTGATAAACAACGTCCCAAAATTAGTGGTGGTAGAAGAGAAGCTCAAGAACCTGTTCAAGTTCCTTTCCTTTGACGTGGTAATTAAAAGACGTCTTCAAAGGGACGAGGTCTATAATTTAGCCAAGAAATTTGCAAAGAAAAATCATACTTACTTTGACACATTTGTTGTTATTTTCCTGTCTGTTTCTGACCAGTGCAATAAAATATCTTGTGCTGATGGTAGAAACGCGAGCCTTGAGCATTTTATGGAGGAGTTCACAGCATCAAGGTGTCCCTCCCTCCGGGGTAAACCCAAGTTATTTTTTGTTCAGCGTTTTAGAGGGACATCTTCTACGGTCAACGATGAGTGCTCAATCTTCGCAAGCGGAAGCTCTGCAGAAAAGGATGCCGTGTGGTTGCCTTACATTCCTACCAGTGAGGAAGACAGCTGCCCCGAAGAAGCCGACTTTCTGGTTGTGTCTGTGACTTCTACATATCCAACTGATCAACCCAACAGACAACCAGAGTCTTTGTTTATCCAGTTGAAGGATAAGTCGTCATTTTTCACCCAGGGGGAGGGGAGGGGTGCCTAAGGATTTCGAGAGGTATCACAC